TACAATCAATCAACAAGTACATGAAAAAATGCTCACCATCTCTAGCAGTCAGAGAAATGCAAATCAAAACCACCCTAAGATACCATCTCACTCCAGTAAGATTGGCAGCCATTATGAAGTCAAACAACAACAAGTGCTGGCGAGGATGTGGGGAAAAGGGTACACTTGTACATTGCTGGTGGGACTGCAAATTGGTGCGGCCAATTTGGAAAGCAGTATGGAGATTCCTGGGAAAGCTGGGAATGGAACCACCATTTGACCCAGCTATTGCCCTTCTCAGACTATTCCCTGAAGATCTTAAAAGAGCGTACTATAGGGATACTGCTACATCGATGTTCATAGCAGCACAATTCACAATAGCTAGACTGTGGAACCAACCTAGATGCCCTTCAATAGATGAATGGATAAAAAAAATGTGGCATTTATACACAATGGAGTATTACTCTGCACTAAAAAATGACAAAATCATGGAATTTGCAGGGAAATGGATGGCACTAGAGCAGATTATGCTAAGTTAAGCCAGCCAATCCCTAAAAACCAAATGCCAAATGTCATCTTTGATATAAGGAGAGCAACTAAGAACAGAATAGGGAGGAAGAGCATGAGAAGAAGATCACCATTAAACAGGGTTGAGAGGGGGGAGGGAAAGAGAGAGAGAAGGAAAATTGCATGGTAAAGGGAGGAGACCCTCATTGTTATACAAAATTACATATAAGAGGAAGTGAGGGGAAAGGGGAAAAATCAAGAGAGAGAACTGAATTACAGTAGATGGGGTAGAGAGAGAAGATGGGAAGAGAGGGGAGGGGAGGGGAGGGGGAATAGTAGAGGATAGGAAAGGCAGCAGAATACAACAGACAATAGTATGGCAGTATGTAAAAAAGTGGATGTGGAACCGATGTGAATCTGCAATATGTATACGGGGAAATGGGAGTTCATAATCTGCTTGAATCGACTGTATGAAATATGATATGTCAAGAGCATTGCAATGTTTTGAACAACTAATAATTTAAAAAAATAAATAAAAATAAAAATAAAGATCCAAGTTGGCAATAGAGGAAGGGGAGGGAGAGACAGGGAGGCGGGGAGGACATAAGGAACAAGATCTACCAAATCATGCTGTGTCCATGTATGGGCAGACCACAATTGACCCCGCATATATAATATTTTAATTAAGATAATAACAATAACATTAGGGAGATTAGTTGAGTAGAGCAAGTGGGTCAGGAAAAGGAGCAGAGGAGGGATAGGAAAGGGCTGGGGAAGGAGATTGATCAAATAACGTTTTGTGCATGTACCAATGTGTCACAATGAATCGCACTATTATGTATCATTATAATGCACCAATACTTTTTTGAAAAGATCCAAGTTGAAAGTACTTTTTTTGCAGAAAGCACCCCAACTATAAGGGGGCGGGGAAAGAAGACAAGAGAGCCAAGGAAGATGAGTAACCAAGTAATGTGTTAAAGATTATGACTGTGGAAAAACAAAGGGGAGGAAGGAAAAACTGAAAACAGAAAATAAGAAGTATACTTATAAATAACCCAGATACATAATTCAGAGCAGTCTAAGATCAATAGGGCTGGAGGTAGCACACAGAAGAGATGTGAAAATATGCCAGATAAGGCAAAGCAAAATTAATGACAAATGCAAATAAACATTTGTGTTTGTCAAAAGTGAAGAGTAACTAACACGACAAGAAAAACAGAATGTGTAACTCATGAACCAGCAGAAGAAAATTCAGTATAGTAGCCAGGACACAAAAACAGAGGGAGAAATAAATTTCCAAAATGCACAATAAATGGAAAATATGATGACTATGTCCAAATATTTAAGAGAAAGTCCAAATATGCAACCCACCTAAATCACTAATCTCAGCAATGAAAGACCTGAAATGCTCAGGTTGAATTTTTGAAAACTCTAACAATGTGCATTGTTTTACAAGATACCCTGAACAGGAAAAGAAAAAAATTAAAAATTTTAAAAGTAGTGTATCAGTCAAGACAGGCCAGGTTTGACTGGAGAAGTAAACACCAAAATTTCAGAGGCTGGAAACATTTATTGTACACTTAAAAATGGTTATAATGATAAATTTTGTTATATTTTTATCACAAATCTTTTAAATTATTTTAAAAGAATGTTTATTCATGCTATGTGTCCAACTTGGGGTGGCAAGAAGGCTCTGCACATTAAAATAAAGGACAACAATTAGAAACTTGTTTCTTAAAATCGTAACTGCTGATTTTGAAATTACTGAGGTGTGGCACATTTCACTCCCAGTTAAGCTACTGAGCTCCCAGTCTTCCACTGGCTGCTAATTCATAAGGCTCAGCGATGCTGGGTGGTCCATACCTGTAATCCCAGCAGCTTGGGAGACTTAGGCAGGAGGATCGCAAGTTCAAAACCAGCCTCAGCAACTTAGCAAAGCACTAAGCAACTCAGCAAGACCCCATCTTTAAATAAACTATGAAAGGGGGGTGCTGGGGATGTGGCACAGTGGTTAAGTACCCCTGGGTTCAATACCTGCTATGTATAAATAAATAAATAAGGCTCAGCAGCACCTCTTTGTTTAAGAGTTAAGTACCTTGGACTGGGGCTGTAGCTCAATGGCAGACTGCTTGCCTAGCACTCTGGAGGCTCTGGATTTAACCACAAGCTCTTCCCAAAAGAGTTGTTCACATGCTGCTGGCATAATCCATGTCCCCCGCCCCCCCTCCCCCCACCACCTCAATATTATATATTTCTGTGTTTAAACAGGAGATTCAAACCACAAATGAAAGTATAATTGTTGGAACTGCTGATTCTTGGAATCATAAAGGCTAAAATGCAAGACCAAGGAAGGTGGACGAATGTGTGAGGAGGACGGAGGACGGTGTTCGTGGGACAGATGCATGAGGAGTGTTTGTGTTTATGTTAAAGCAGAGAATCCACTTAGCTGCCCACACCTGTTCTCACTGGTTGGCCCAAGGGGCATGTAAAATATGAGGGACAGGTAAATACCATAAGGTGGGGTCTGGAAGACTTGGGAACCCATGGGCCACAAGGGTGTGTCAGGAATAGAAGGCAGTGGCTTTGGGCCAGACCATGCTTCAGGAATAGAGGGGAAATGGGAGAGCACAGGAGGATGGGCTGTGTTTCTGGAAGGTCTCAAGGGAGGATCACGGAAACAAAAACAAACTGGAAAAGGCTCCTGACCCCTTCAGAGAAAATTCAGAGCTGACAGGGACCAAAGGACAGAAAAGGAGTTGGCGGCATATCTGAGGTGACCTCAGCTCTCCTCACTCTGAGTGTGCATGTTTGAGTGAGTGTGTCAGGCATGCACCGTGTGGACCTGCATGCACCACTGAGGCGCAGAGAGCTTGTTTCTCTCATACATTTTCTCCCAGGCTCACAACTGCCCTGGGATCTCCCAGATCCCCTCCCTGCCCTGTTTCACCACCACCATCTCTTCCTTCCCAATACCCCATGGTTGAGCGTCCCTTGTCTACCCACCAGCCCCCGCTGTCCTGCCTCCTGGCTTTCTATCTGGCACATTCCTCTACCTGGTGTACCTGCTTCCCCAGCCAAGAGCCAGTCATCCTTCATGGATGGACACAAATATCACCTGCCATTATCTCTTCCTCATCCTCCCAGGATAAATAAATAATTCTCTCCTGTGTTCTCTAGTCCTTGAGTTCACAGTAAGAGTATCTCACATTGTGATGGTTGTTTATACATTTCAAGGAATATATATATATATATATATATATATATATATATATATATATTTGAGAATATATATATTCCTTTATAGCTTTTATTTAATCATTTTTTTTAAAAAAAGGACCTACTGGGAAAGTGTGACTCTCTGGTTATGTGATAAATCGTATTTCCATGGAAGCAGGAGCTAAGAGAGGGTTCTTCTTGTGTTTGAGGGTCCCTATCCCATACAATCATCTGGGACAACAATACCTCAATCCACAGCTGCATCTGCATCTCCCCTCAGTTCTTCACTATGGTCTCTGCAGTCGTCCTCAAAGGCGTACCCTGGCAGCATCCCTGTCTCAGTCATCATGAGGCCAGCAGGTCATGGGCAGAAGTGAGAGGGAAGTAAGAGCCAGTGGCTTCTGGCAGCTGTGGAGAGCAACCTGGGCTGAGACCGGGGAGAGAACCTGAATCCCACTCTGACCCCACCCACTGAGTCTTCTCCCCATTAAATGGACACATGAACAAGATGTCCTACCCTCCACAGCCACCAGTGGGGAGGATAGGCTCCTACTGACCTGAAATGTGTATCTAAAGTTATTTGAATGATGCTTATCTTGTGGTTGCATGGATGTTTAAATGACTGGATCTCGAGGTAACAATGAAAGTGACTAAAGGAAACTTTAGGGATTACTCACAGCCAGGATGTGCTGCACATGCCTGTGATCCCAGGTTCTTGGAGGCTTAAGTAGGAGAATTGCAAGTTCGAGGCCGGCCAGGACAATTTAGCGACATCTTCTCTCAAAATAACAATTTTTATATGAGCAGGGGATGTGGTTCAGTGGTAGAGCGCCCCTGAATTCAAACCTCAGTACCTCAAAAGAAAAAGAAAAAGAGGTTCCTCTTGCAGCCTCAAGGGGGCAGCAGAGCTGGGCATCCTGCCTGGCAGCCTCAACTTTTCCTACAGGAGAAGTTGCTTTTGCTTTTAGAATTTTACCTTAAAGTTTTAGGTCCAAGGGCACAGAATCTACTAAGAACTATCGTTGATGGCAGGTTAGCTAACAACTGCCTTCAATCACGTTGATTTCAGACGGGACTCTATTAAGAGTCTGAAACTTTTGGATATTCTAATAATAAAAGGGATGAGTCCGAAGGTGGGGAAGACCATGGTTAAACACCCGGGCCCTAGAAGTCCCAAGTGGAGGTAGGAAAAGAATGAGGTGAGGTACACGGAACATCAGAATGATAAGCAACGCAGGAATTTGGAGCACTCAGGCAAGCGGCTACAAATTTGATGCAATCCTCATCAAAATGTCGAAATGTCTGGGGGACCAGTCAGTGGGAGGCTGCTGAGGGTGAAAGCCAGATTTTTTGACGCTCGGACTTTGGTTGCCCTGGCTGGAGGCCCCAACTTTTTCCTTTGCTTTGGGTTCCCCTTCACCAGGTAACAGCCCGGGAGGCGCGGCGAGTGCGGCGGGGAAGGCTGAAGCCGGAGGCAGCAGGAGTCGCTGGGGACGTGCCCTGGCCCGGCCCAGGCAGGGAGTGCGGGGGACCCAGGCGGGACCTGCACCACCACCTGATCCCAGACCTACAGGACCAGTTACACCCTGGGGTAACTGATGGAAAATATGACTGTGGTCGGTCCGCTGTGAGTCAGCCGGCCGGAACCAGCCAGAAGGAGGAAGGGCATTGCCGGGGCGGGGACTCGGGCTTTAAAGGCTCGTGCGCTGGCCATTCTCGCAGTGCTCCCAGCCCCGGACCCATGGCAGGTGCCCTCCGCGCGGCGCTCTTTCTCGGCGTCCTGGCTCAGCTACCGCCTGATTTTCTTTGGGCGTCCCCGGTCGGTGAGTGGCGGGATCGAACTTACCGGGACGCCTCCGACCCCTTCTCAGTTCCCATATTTCCCCTGCGGGTTCTGTCCCACCGGTCTGTGTCCCCGCAGCAAGTTCTGCACCCTGCGCCTAGGGAGGGAGCCGCGGGACCGAGGATCCCAGGGAGCGGAAAAGAGACGGAAAAGTACGGGTAGGAGGATGGGAGGGAGCGAGATGACTTGATGAGGGTCCCCAGGGCCATCTCAGTCCTCAGGAGGTGGGGCCAGAGCCTCTCTCTCCGGGGCCCAGGACCAAAAAAGAGCCACTGTGAAAGGGTGTGCGTTTTCCCACTGTGGGTGGCATTCACTTCTGGACTCCAGGGGCTGTGTTGTGTGTTTCCAGGGAGGAATTGCCCTGAACTCCTCCTGGCCAGCACAGAAGTCTCTATCACAGGTCGTCCTGAGTCATAGTGGCAGGTCCAGTCCCTTCTAAGTTCATGTGATAATGTACTTTTTAGAATTTTCTTTTAAAGGTAAAGAAAGGGGGGGGGGGTGTCTCATGAAACACCAAAGGGAAATCAGTAGGTAGACGAAAAAGACCAGGGGGAGGAAGGAGAGGCGAGAAAGGAAATACTGGGGAATTATATTGGCCAAATCCTATTGCTATATTGTGTGTGTGTAACAACAAATGCCACCATTAGGGACAACTGTAATGCACCAATGAAATTAAAATTTGAAGTATCATCAAAAAAAGGATTTTCTTACATTTGAAATATACCTATTTCAATCAGTAGGAAAATCGTTAACTGAAGTATATAACTCCTAATATTAGAGAGTTATTCAATTGTTATAAAGAAAGTACATCTGAAATGCATCTCTATTTTTGATAAACAGACCAAAGTTCAAAAGAAAAAAAAAGAATTTGCTTTTAAAATATTTTTTCTTCTTTTTTAATTGATGCATTATAATTATACACAATAGGACCCAGATGTAACTCAGGAGTAGGGCTGCATGCACCAGACCCTGGATTCAAAGAACATGGTAGAAGATGAGTAGGCAGAATTAATATTGTCAAAATTGCCATTTATCAAAAATGATCTATACTATTATGAAGACAAACAACAATAAGTGCTGGCCAGGATGTGGGGGAAAAGGTACACTCATACAATCCTGGTGGGACTGCAAAGTGATGCAGCCAATATGGAAAGCAGTATGGAGATTTCTTGGAAAAGTGGGAATGGAACCACCATTTGACCCAACTATCCCTCTCCTCTCCTCGGGACTATACCCACAGGACTTAAAATCAGCATACTGCAGGGACACAGCCACATCAATGTTTATAGCAGCACAATTCACAATAGCTAAACTGTGGAACCAACCTAGATGCCCCTCAATAGATGAATGGATAAAAAAAAATGTGGCATATTTATACAATGGAATATTACTCAGCAATAAGAGAGAATAAAATCATGGCATTTGCAAGTAAATGGATGATGTTAGAGAAGATAATGCTAAGTGTAGTTAGCCAATACAAAAAAAAAACAAAAAAAAAACAAATGCTGAATGTTTTCTTTGATATAAGGAGACTGATTCATAGTGGGATAGGGAGAGGGAGCATGGGAGGAATAGAGGAACTCTAGATAGGGCAGAGTAATTGGAGGGGAAGGGAGGGGGCATAGGGTTGTTAATGTTGGTGGAATGTGATGATCATTATTATCCAAAGTACAGGTAGGAAGACATGAATTGGTGTGAATATACTTTGTTTACAACCAGAGGTATGAAAACTTGTACTCTCTATATGTAATAAGAATTATAATGCATTCCACTGTCAAATATATATATATATATATATATATATATATATTCCATAAATTTGATGCAATCCCCATCAAAATTCCAGTAATATTCTTAACAAAACTAAAATTCATCTGGAAGTATAAAAGAACCAGAATAACCAAAGCAATCCTGAGCAAGAAGAGCAATGCTGGAGACATGTGACAGTCCTTGATCTCAAGTTATACTACAGAGCTATAGAAGGGGAGGGGGATACCAGTGTGGTACTGGAGGGGGAAAAAAGATATGAAGAACAGTGGAATAGAATAGAAAGCATAGAGACAAATCCACGTAGATACAGTCATCTGATCCTTGACAAAGTGCCAGAAATATATGTTGGAGAAGAGATAGCCTTCTTAACAAATGGTGCAGGGAAAACTGCATATCCATATGTAGAAGAATGAAAAGAAATCCCTGTCTTTCACCCTGCACAAAAGGTAAATCACCATGGCTCAAAGACTTAGGAGTTAGACCAGAAATCTTGCAACTGCTTGAAGAAAACATAGGGTGAGCATTCCAGCACATATATGCAGGCACCAACTTCCTTAACAAGACCCCCAAAGCTCAAAAACTAAAAACCAAAACCAAGAATGAATAAAAATATTTGCCAGCTGTTCCTCTGACAAGGAATTAATATGCAGAGTATAATAAAGAACTCAAAAAACTTCTCTCTCTCTCTCTGTCTTTCTCTCTCTCTCTCACACACACACACACAAAAACAAGTAATGCAATCAACAAATGGGCAAAAGAACTAAACAGACATTTCTCAAAAGAAGAAACACAAATGGTCAACACATATATGAAAAATATTCAACATCCTCAGCAATCAGGGAAATGCCAATCAAAACTACTTTGAGATTTCATCTCACCCCAGTTAGAATGATAATCATCAAGACTCCATCAATAATTGTGGATGAGGAAGTGGGGGGAAAGGTACATTCACACATTGTTGGTGGGGCTGCAAATTGATATAACCACTTTGGAAAGCAATAGGGAGAGTCCTCAAAAGACTAGGAATGGAACCGCCATATGACCCACCTATTTTACTCCTTGGTATTTATCCAAAAGAACTAAAATCAGGATACTATAATGATATTGCATGCTAAAGTTTATAGCAGTACAATTCACAATAGTTGAGTTATAGAACCAGCCTAGGTGCTTATTGACATTGAATGGATAAAGAAAATGTGCTAAATATATTTACACAGTGGAATTTAATTCACTTCTAAAGAAGAATGAAATTACATCATTTGCTGGTAAATGGATGGGACTGGAGAACATTATGCTAAGTGAAATAAGTCAGACCCAGAAAGTCAAAGGTTGAATGTTTCCTCTCTCATAGCTAGAGAGGGAAAAGAGAAAAAGAATTCAAAAATAAAAGGGGGATTAGGGCAGGGGAGCCATAGGATGAGCACGTAGATGCCCCCACTACTCGGTTGGGAAAACACATACTCATACTTGCGTTAGCCCAGCAAACCTCAGCAGTCAGTCTGCTTCGGTTCCCTGGCAAGGGACTGACCCGGAAAGCGGGATGGGGCTGTTGGGAAAAGCTGGAGCTGACGGCAAGATTGCTGCGGCTATAAATCCATCACTTCCCAGGTGAGTTGTTGGTGAGCAGGTAAAAAGGAGAATTTGCCTAAGTGATTCCAGGGAGCGGGCCGTGCCTAGCCCTCCAGCCCATGCCCGGCCGGGATCCATCGCCAGGAGCGCCGAGCCGGGGTGTCCCTACTTGCCGAAATGGGGGACTGGCAGGACCTTCACTACTGCACCAGCAACAGGACGGCAGGGTTGCCCCAGCTGGGCACTGTAGGTCAATATCCCTACATGAGTGCCCCGCTGCTGTCCCCCACCCCCAATGCCGACTTCCAGCCCCTTACTCCCCCCCCCCCCGCCCTATCAGCCCATCTACCCCCAGTCGCAAGATCCTTGCTCCCATGTCAATGATCCGTTCAGCCTGAATCCCCTGCACGCCCAGCCGCAGCCGCGGGAGGCAGAGCCAGGCTCTGGGCTCCTGCACACACACACTGGGGTCTGCCCCACCAGCTGTCAGGCCTGGATGGATCCTCGCAGGGACTACCAGCGGCAAGAGGACCTCCTGCACAGCCCGCAGGGCTTGGCTCCGGACTCGGAGACCTTCCGATCCACTCCTTACCTCACGCCATTGAGGTCATCCTGCTGTAGAAGGTATTAACATCCAGATCAAACAGTAATTAAGAAAGGCTCCGTATCTCTGTCCAAGTGAAGCCAGATTTAGATAGGTAGTTAGTGTAGTTAGGTAAATCGGGTTAAATACCCAGTAAGATAAATAAAATGGAGGCTGTTATTGAGAATGGAGTCCAGGAAAACAGAGCAGCACTTGGGGAAATTGAAATGTTAATGTCCCCAAGGCCAGAGCCCATCCTAAGGAACTGTTAATGAAGCAGCTCCCAGCAAACAGGGAAGTGCTAATCAAGAGCTGCCCTAGGCCCTTCCTGCCCAAATTACTTCTTCAGCCCACCTATCTCCCACCTTTGGGGCCTTCTCACCTTCATTTTGACACTGAAAGATAAAGGGAAACAAAGGACAGGAGTGTGGGAAAGCTGAAAGAAGACCTTAGCTTTAAAAAAAGGAAGACTTCCCCTTCCACGGATCCTTTTGGGTCCCCTTGTTCCTCCAGGAGAAGTCCTTTCTGCTGTCCTTTAATAAAGCATCTACTTTCCACTCTAAACTTGCCTGGGCCTGCTTCTCCGGTGTTATACTTCAGCATTCTGGGAAGCAAGGACTCGTCAACGGTAACCCAAGTGCAACAGCAACACCGTCTCCGCCATCCCTATTAACAAGGACAACCTCTTCGGTGGCGTGGTGAACCCAATGAAGTTTTCGGTTCAGTTCCAGGTGGACTCTCACTCCTCAGCTCCACCTCGAAGTTCAAGGTCACAGTGGGGAAGTGCAGCGACGCCTCTCACCGCCCGAATGTCTAAACCCATCGCTGCTTGTCGAAGTCTAAAACTGGAGGAAGATCTTTAAGAGAAAAACTGGACAAAATAGGATTAAATCTCACATCACTAGTGGAGGGAGAAGCCGTCCACCTAGCCAGGGACTTTGGGTACATGTGTGAAACCGAATTTTCTGCTAAGCAGTAGCTGAATTTCTCAACCGACAACATTCCGATTCCCAAAGAGCAAGTGACAAGAAAAAACATGCTCCTGGTAAAATATGCAA